TCTCTCTCTCTCTCTCTCTCTCTCTCTCTCTCTCTCTCTTCCTCCCCTTTCTCCTTCCCTCTGTGTGTCGAGGAACGAAAACGCCAGCTTCATGCCACTTAAGCTGCAATCGAATTAAAGCCGAGCGGCGCAGCGCCAAACGAGGGAGGCTTTCTCTCTCTCTCTCTCTCTCTCTCTCTCTCTCTCTCTCTCTTTCTCTCTCTCTCTCTCTCTCTCTTCATCCCCTTTCTCACTCTCTTCTCCTCTGTGCGCGAGAGTCGAGGCGGGCGCAACGCCATTGACGGTACTGAGGTGGAATGGAGGAGTGAGAGGTGACCGCCCCGGGGCCTAGCGGGGGCTGGCGCCGGGCTGAGGGCGCACTGGGGGCGTGCCGAGGGTCGCGGCGCGCCGCAGAGAGGAGGGTGTCGGTGTCCTCGCCGAGGGCGCCGCCGTCGCGCCGTCACGGTGGTTTTGTTATCGATGCCGCGCTGCTCTGCCTAGATAGGTTTTGCTCGTTTTGTTTTTGTTGTCTGCTGCTGAACCTGAATGCCGCACTGCAAAATGCTTGCAAAGAATAGGTTCGTATTGCAAACTATTTTCTTTCCAGCTTGCAAAGAATTTTCAAGCATTGTATTACGAACTTGTTATTCGCAAGTTTGCAAACTATTTCTTTGCAATACAAACACATTGTTTGCAAGGATTCTGACAGCTTGCAAAGAACTTCTTTGCAATACGAACTAATTCTTTGCATACAACGCTCGTAAATTCTTTGCTACGTTGCAAAGAATATAGTTTGCAAGCATTTTACAGTGTGCTCTTGGATCTCAAAACGAATCAGAGTGAAGGCAAAATGACTTTTGCGGTTACGCACTGGCACTGTTGTTCAGTTCAAGCTATTAACCGAGTGGCTGTTTTCTCGGCTGTCTTCTTTTCTTTTAATCAGGCGGGATCCCCACTGCAGTCGCAGCGTCTTGCAAATGCTGTGACGGCTGCCGAGTTGATCCTTGCTGACTTGCGACCACCACCCTATTCGTCCCGGCTTGCCCTACATACCGTCCCTGCCCTCCTGGCCCCCTGCTGGGGCAGACGGACTGCTCTGCGGTCCCTGCTATTTTGCTGGTGGTTTGTGTTGGTCCGGATCTGGCCCGGATCTGGTCCAGACGCACTCGACTGACTGTCGCTCTTCTGTGTATCTTGTTGCAGGTCGCCATGCCGCGGCGGTACCAACGGGCTCCGCGGGGCCGCGAGGAGCTGAGCCCGAGCTGATCGCCTCACCCGGATCGACATGGCGGCTGCCACGGTGATGCTGCTGGTCGCCATGGCGACGCGGCTCAGCACCGCCGTCCCGCCGGAGCCGCCGCCGCCGCCATCGCCCGCCAACTTAGGCGATTCCCTCAACTTCCAGAAAAACCGTAAGTAGAGCCGATCGAGATGTTGTGTGCGTGCATGTGCGTCTGAGCGAGTGAAAGGAGTCGTTTCTTCACGGAAAAAAGAGTTAGGTCCCACAACTGAAGTTATAGTTTATTTCCGAAAAAAATATCTATGGTTGTGACTGGTTGTAGCTCTGGAAATCAGTACTTGATTGTTACAAACGACATTTAACCGAAGATATGACGCCATTGCTCAGAAGAACGTAACACGGCCTTGTGCTCCCAACAACGGCGTCGTTCCCTCGACTTACTGTTGGTTGTGCCAACCAAATACTAACTGGTATCTATTGTCAAACCACTTAGCTATCCGGTAATCAACTAATAATTTAGTCGAGAAAACTATGGTTAAATTAGAATTTTTTTTTCTTTCTCGCGGCCGGAAGTTTGGTAGCTTAGGAAAATGCAAAGTTAGTTTATTTTCATCCCGTTGCTTTTGTTATCTTGACGGGGTGATATGGGAAGCTCCAGACACTCCACTCTCCAGAAACCTATGTATTTCGCGTGTCCAGAGTAGAGTATATTCTCCCCTCTTCTCGACTTTATCTCGGCGTAAAACTGCATCAAAGGCAAGGTCGTATTCGAAAAGGAGCTCGTTTTTACAAATGCTTGACGTCGCTCGGGAGTGCTTTTTCTCCCCGACACGGACGGGCCCTCCTAATGCTCTTCTCTTGGAGGTTATGTCTGCCGTTTTAGTTGGCTGTATTATGTAAGAGGGGTAGGGGGCGCAGGCGGGCAGACAGAAGGAGCCTTGCGGTGGGTGTCTTATTTCCAGAGAGAGGGACAACTTTTCCGTCCGCGGGAGGAAAGTTGTGCGGCGCGGCGACGGAAATTTACTTAAAACATCTGCTGAGTGGAAGCTAATCCGGTCCTCTCATGTCATTACGGTTATTACTTTGTTCCACATTAGCGCTGGCCCCGGGGGCGCAGTGCTTTGGCCGTTGCCAATCGCAATGTGCGGCCAAAGGACGACGCGAATAAGACAGAGTGGTCGCCATATTTAGAGCGTGATGGACCTTTTTTTTCGTTGGCGAGGGGTTCAAGAGCCACATGAACTCTACTGCTCCGATCGCTCGATCTGTGGCAGAGGATGGCGGTGTAGTGGTGGCGCAACGGGGGACGAACGGGACTGATTTGATGACGGAGAAAACATGGATCCCTCATCCCTCTGCCAGGGAACTATCGATACGTTATATTCATCTCGTAAAGAGGAGAACTGGCAGCAGCACAGCAGATATTTCGCAATGGATGATGTTTCCTCTCACAGCAGAGGGTGGTTGTATTTGAATGTGCCCCGAGCGAACGCGGCGCGTCAGCGACCATGGGTGTCAGTGTCACGGGTGCCAACCGTCCGTCCGGCGCGCCGGGCGATTGAGGTTGAGCAGGCAGCGCCATGAGCTGTGCCCTGCCATAACCGGGCCGCGTCCCGTGGCTCTGCTGAATCGGGCGGCCGCGGCCCCCCGCCGAGCGCCCCTATGGGACCCTATGCGACCCTGTGGGTGGAACCCCATTGGCCGTCAGGTGAGCAAAATGGCTTCATGCGGACGGGCCAGCCATTCATGTCGTATGGCGCGCGGCAAGAGGCAGCCGCGAGCAGCGCTGGGTTTGCGATAAATCACGTTTAAATCGCGTGTCTTCGCGTTTTCCTACTCTGAAAACTGAGGCGCGACGGAAACCGAACGCAATGAAAAAGATCCAACACTGTCACTGTATCTGAAGTGTGCCACTGGAAAGCACACTCTGCCAATTCATGAATTTGAAAATGTGTTCGCGGTAATCTCTAAATACATGGTATTTATACTAATGGCGCCATCCTGCGCAGGATGTGTGCACTGTGCACTGGTATATAATATACATTTGTAAATGCATACTTGTTATGTACACATTTGCATTGACAGAACACTTTTCGACTTTAAGTTGGTTATTTAAAAGGCCTTAAACTTCCAACTGCGACACAAACATACGTTAGTCGCAACAGCACCGTTTTGGAAAGTCTGCCATCGTCACTTTTTTTTGCCATTTGAAGTGGTTCGTATTGTACCGATGTACCGATGTACCCATACCCATCCCATTTTCGGCCGTTTCTAAACTGACAAATTTCCCGCTCCTTCCTTTCCCTCCGTTTCCATCTCCCTCTCTGTCGCCCCTCCCCCTCCCCCCAATCTCCTCCCTCGTGCCTTTTTCTCTTCCCCTCTCTTCCTCCACGTCGCCTTGAGTTTTTTTCATATTGTGCTTCCGCCGTCCTCCAGTTTCGTCCCTCGCCTCCCCATCCGGCGCGCCGCCCATGTGTACTTTGCTCTCGCAGTGCCTTTTATATGAGGATGTTATTCTATTTCTCTCTTTATTTTAATTTGTGGTCTCGGTGCGTGCTGTTGTCCCTCTCACAGTGTGTGTGTGTGTGTGTGTGTGTGTGTGTGTGTCGCGCAGACGGAAAGGCGAAGGGAAAGAGGGGGCGGGGGAGGTACTAAGTGTGTGCAAGTGATGTGTACACATGGGTCGGAGCCCGGCTGCCCAATGGCCAAAAGCGTCCCGAGAAGGAAGTGGGATGTGGTGTGGCGCATCGTAGTGGACGTGAGTGGCAGGGGAAAAAAAAGGGAAGCGCCAAGAAGAAAAAGGTGTCGGTGATTGACAAAGAAAAAGTATGAAGGGATAGAAGGAAAAAAAATGAGAAATGCGCCCCAACGAGGGCGCCTCTTTATTAGCGCAGACATATGGGCCCGTTAGTTGACGCAACAAAAAGCAGTTTCTCGCCTCCATTTTTTCCGTCGTTTCTTTGGAAGCCTATGTCGCGCCTTCGTTATTGCTCCGCGAAGCGAGAAATTGTTCGTAGGTGTCGTATCGCTCACCTTATCTTTACGTGAGCACCACGCTCATGCCACGAGCCGGGTCCACGCTTATGACATAATGAGCAAACGTTGATCAAAAGGAGGGAAGGAGAGGAAAAGAGGGACAGAGCGATGCGACGCGCGGTCTGCGTCTGACGGGCGCGCGCAGGGCGGCACGGGGGGGACTTGGCAGCGTTTTACTGGCCATGAATGTCAACGTGTCAACCGGGCCGTGATGACGACGGGCGCCTCTTTAGGCCTCATCGCCGCGCTCACGTGATGCGCGGGGGGATTTCCTCTTCTCCCCCCCTCCCCCCTTTGCTCGTTACGCCCCTGCACGTGATGACGGCGGCGGTCGCTTCGCACCTCCGGCCTGCATGCCCCGACTGCCGCTGCTGCCGCTGCTGCTGCTGGCCACAACGGCGGCAGCTGGGTGAAAATATGAGAGTGGTGGCGTTACAGCGGAGGGGGTTAGAGCGGCCGGCAGATAGGGCAGGCAGAGGACGGGGCTTGATGCTGGACGGCGGGCGTGGTCATGCATGGACCCCGTCCCCCGCCCCCACCCCTTCATCGGGCGAGCACACCGCAAGCCTATATCGCGTGGGGGGCTCCAGGATTTATCCCCCGCCAGGAAAGCCCCCCTCCGCCGGGGGATGGGGCCGTGACCCTGGGCGCAAACTTGAGGGCGGCCCTCCTATCTATCTCTCTCTACCTCCTATCCCCTTCCCCCCTCGCCCCGTTCGGTCTCCCTCAGCCGTAGGCCCCGAGGCCCATGCCTGGCCGGGGCCAGGAGTCAGTTAAGCGGGTCAACACTGCAAGTCCTACAGACGCTCTAGAGAGCCGCTCTACTGCCTCGGGGAGTACAGTGAGAGCGGGGGCCGTTGGCGGAGTTTACACGACGCAAATCAAAACTTACTCTCCCTTCCGCGTTCATGTCGCCCCTTTACATGCTGTGTGTAAGCGACGCGTTGTACTTGTACCAGAGGCCCGTGCGTGGTCAGGAGGTAGCTCAGCAAAGTCGTTAAAAAGGGTAACCGATGGGAAACGAGTATATGGTGCCAAGTTATTCGGCGTCGGTACGCAGTCCTGGTTCTCACAAGTCTGGAAAACGTGGAACATCTGGAATGCCCTGGTTTTTCTCATGTTTATAAGATTTTCAATCCGAATTCGTCGGGATTTCTCTTGATTGCCGACCACGCGGCGCGCCGACGGTTGAAGCAAGAGCCACGCCGTGTTTAATTTTTATTAACAATCATCACAGCCTTTCAATTTTAATATAACGTGTGTGTGTATGTCCTATTCTTCTCTGCGGGGGAAAGGTTTGATGAATAGCCGGCCGGGGGGACTGCCCTCCGCCTCTCGCTCCACCCCCGCCGCGAGCCTTTTAACACGAAAAGGGTGGGGAAGAATAAGAGTGAAACACACGCAGCCCACAAACAAATCGCTGTCATACAATATAACGTTAAAATATATCGCGGCGTGGAGGCTGCATTCCTGATTGGAGGGCTGCTCCCCCGCACCGCGCAGCGCGGGCCGGCGCGGCCGCAGGTGATGATGACTAATAGACTGGGAATGTTTTTTTAATGCCCGTCGCACCGAGCAGACGCGGCTTGGCTGTGGGGAACCGGAGGGGAGGGCTGGCACTTGTCGCAGATGCTCGTCGCGCGAGCCTGCCTCTGGAATGGCAGAGCAGCTCGCGAAGCCCCTCGTCTCCTCTCTCACATGAGTCGCGAGGGTCGGTCGTATCCGGGGGGGAAAGTATGGGGAGGGGGTTGGGGTGTTCAAGTTCCGGTCGAGTTGATATTATTCCAGCGGCAGAGTCGACGGGCCCAGCCATAATACTAGAGAAGCATTTTGTCTGGACCCAGCGGGGCGCGCGGGGCGGGGTGGTGGCGGTGGTGGGGGCCTGACGGCTGCACCCCATGTCGCAGGGCCACCCCACCGCCGCGCCCCGCCACGCCCTGGCTGACCACGCGTGCTGGCCGGGCCTTCCCTCCGGCCATAGTGATGGGTGATTTATATCCATACGTAAACACTTTGCGCCCTGGCTGGGCAGGCCGGGCAGGCCCCCCTTGTCTCCACGAGCCCCTCCCATGCACTGCTGTCCCTCTCGCACCCGGCCTGCCTATTTGTCTCTCTCTACTTGCCCTCTGCCTCTTC